ATTTGGATGTAAGCGGTGAACAGAGGTCATATAAATATAGAGATATAAGATGAATAGCAATGAGAAGATGGAGTAACAGTAAAGACAAAAATACCACACACAAAAAAGAGACACAGAGTGAACCTTTGCATTTTTTGGTTAATTTTTCTGATACTAAGCTAACCCTCCTGTGTAGCAAATCAATCCCAAGGGTGTTGCATATTTTGGGATAAATGTTGTGTTTGATAAGCCTTAATTAACATTTAAACTGAAACTGTACTCCCTGTCTCCCACAAAAAGATAAACAAATAACATAATGAATGTTCATTATATTGCAGAAACACCAGACAGCTATAGGCAGCCTCTTGCAGACCATGAAGAAATGAAATAGGAATGTATCCTGCACTGTCCTTGAATAGGCATGCAGTTGGACAACTGGGTATTTTGTCATTTTTTTCCCAAGCTTTTCTAATAAACCCTGATCCAACCTTTCATCAAACCCAAATAACCGATGCTTCAGCTCAGCCCACACTTGTGAGAATATTGAGTGCTGGACCTGTGAAACCATCAAAAAAACAGGTAAAAAATAAATGAAAAGACAAAAACAAATAAAGTTGTCCCTAGGGTTCCTATAGCTTTGTTGTAGACTATTGTTTATTTCTTGCAGGGATGTCCTCCATCCCCACTTTTGTCCCATTTACTTTCATTTTCTATTTTCCCTTCCTGCCTCTGGCAACCAGCAGGCTGATCTCTCAGATTCCTCATGTGTTGGTTTGACAAACATGAGAAATAGCCCGAGGTTCCCCACACTGTTGTTTTACTCGGTGTAAAGCAAACCTTTTGTTCTTTTACTGTATCTCTATTTCTTCCCTCAAGCTGTTTCCCTTCCACTGTATTATGTTTTTCAGCAAATTTTCACCTTTTCATTTTATTTTGCCATGCTTATTTTTGTCACTTGGAGGCATATGTGTATTCAAGATGAACAAAAGGATAACATTCAAATTCAGAAAAGTACTTCAAAATGAGTTTGCATAGACTGTAGCAAACAGTTAGTTAACTGCTGTTTAATGACATTCTCTGTATAATTCCAGCTTTCAAATGTTGTGTTCTCCAAAAGCTGTTTTAACAATACACCATCTGTCCAATCCACCTAATAGGTCAGGACTCTTCTTAAGCTCTCCTGTATCCCTAGAGATAATGAGCACTTCCACAGATGAGGCATGTTAATAACATCATTTTATTCCCTTCTGTGTGACCGCATTATGTCGGGCCATTAATTGCTAGGGCAGAAAGTCAAGATGACAGTTGTAAAAGCTGTGTAGTTACAAGGATAGTATGGTATGGTTTGGAAAACGTTCATTTCTAAAACTGTGTATCAGCCACAATCTGAGTTAAAGGTATCAAAGGATTTTTTAGTTTAATTTTAAACAAAGTTTTATTCTATTTTCTCTTACCATTTTTTTTTCTCGTACAGCTTGTCCTAACAGGTTCAATGCGAGAACAAGTCGGTGACAAAATCAGCTTGAATTTACTGTTTCCTATCTGAACGGCCTGCCTCGCAACGCAGCACAATGTTTTACCCCTACGCCCCGTTTCTATTGCCTGTCTGTCAGTCATGTAGATGGACGAGTAAGGAAAGGGATCTATGAGACACTGGTACTTGCTTTTCTCACTCAACAGAGCTTATTAGCTTGTTTTACCAAGTGGAGATAGTTGTGCATTTATAATAATCCATTTCCCTGTTGAAATACTATTGTTAGACTTATGTCAACACTGCAGAAAAACTTTGTTTGGCCAGCCTGCGAGCTGTTTATTGACAAGCCTCTGAGTGTTGTGATTTGAGTTAGTAGGGCTTTCGTCAAGATGAAGCACCACACATCCGTTTGTCCACCTGCAATACAGAAGCACATGTTATATTTTTTACAACAGGAAACTGAAATTCAAAGGGCAGAGAATTAAGGGATGCAGTATGGACAGCAATGGTGCGCAATGACACAATATCAAAAGCTTGTGTGCTGTTAGGATGCGGTGTGAGGCCTTGTCCACACAGGCAGGTATTTTTTTAAACAGAGGTTTTACTTCACAGTTAATAAAAAAATTCCTTCCACAAACTGAGTTCTCAAAAAAAACATTTGTCCACACGCAAAAATGCACTGTGCTGTCAAGACCATGCTACAGGCGATGATATCACTGTAACTTTAAACCATGTTGGCCAATCAGAAGCATAGACAAAATATTTACCGGTTCTGGTAAGCTAACAGGGCGATAACCAGTTAATTGATATACGTCAACATAACAACCTTGGATAGCCTTTTCTCTGCGTTTTGTCCTTTCCAACACACACAAACTGCGCTTTAGGTCACTCTACTGTGTAAGTGTGTTTGTGAGAATGTAAAGTCCAGTTAGCAATAGGAAGTTAACACCAGCACAAGTTTGGTTATGTTCACCATTGCACACATGTCATAAACCAAAGTGAAGACATTGCATACTGATGTCCAAAAGATGAGAAACCGGTGCACAGTGTAACGTTACAAGCCTAAAACTCAATTTTCCTCGTCTAGTCTAGTTTTACTTCCTGTCCTTGTGTGTTTCCCTCCAGTTAGATTGCTGTCATCAGTTTCACCTGTGTCTTGTTTGTCACACACCTGTTTCTAACTACCCCTTGTGTATTTATTGTCTGCGTTTCTTCTCTCAGGTGTCAGTTCTTGTTTCAAAAAGTCACATTCATTCAACCTATATTTATACTTGGGCGGTAACTGAGGGGCTTCCCACATGTACAATGACATCGAATCATAACAAAATCAATGAAAAGACAGAAAACAAATAATTGCAAGAACCGGAAGACAGAAGAATATAAGGCCACTAAAATCAACAAAGTGGGGGATTTCTAAGAAGCTGAGACAGTTAAAAGGAATGATTAAATTCAAGAGCGTAATAAAAGCCTACAATGTACTCAGATAATTGAGTGAGCTCAGTGAGTATAATACATATACAATAAATGAAATACATTTATGTAGTTACAAACAGAGGCTGGGAGGTTTAAAGTGAGGTTTCTAAAATGTCCAAAAGGTAAAAGTTCATTTTCCTAGGCGATGTGGTATCTTGTTCCAAGAGTCAGTGCAGAATAAGAAAAAGCAGAACATGTTCCCAGTTGATTGCCACGTGGCATCTCAGTTGTTTTTTCTGTTTGTTGTATTTTGGTAACCTTGGGCCTGTACTACAATGCAGGTTTTTTTCGCTAAGCAATTTGACTTCAGAACTGATTGATACTGTGCGTAAACTTTGCAGGCTGTTAGCGTGTTTTTCTGTGCAATTGTTAGTTAAGTGAGATAACCGAAAGACAACCTTGGCATGTTTAACTCAAGTCATAGTACACAGGCCTGTGGTATTGTTACGTGAGATTTTGTTAGGGCTGGAAAATTAATCGAAGATTAATCGACTGACATTCAGAACCTCTAACCTACGTGATCTTGCCCATGTGGATTTTTTTCTGGGCAGAGACTCGTCCAATCCACGACATGGAAGCGATGTCCGTCGTTTGGCCACATTTTGTCTTTAGGAAAGATGACACCGATCAAAAAGAAGTCAAATGTAAACACTGCGGAAAAACTGTTTGCCAGAAATTCAAGTTATTTATTTTCTACTGTTTTAGAGAAGTTAATTTCTACTAAAAACTAATATGTGTCGTTTTCATTTCAAGCGATGCTTTGATTTCAGTTCAAAACATTCAATAAATAACCACAAAATAGTTAATCAGATATGCACTCTTTCATTAGAAAACATATCCCAGCTTTAATAGTTGAGCATATTTACAGTAGAGACCATTTCAGTGAACTATGAGGACAAACAAAAATGAAATAATCGTTCATCAATCATAATTGAGGTAAAATGTTCAATTAATTGTGATATTGATTGGAGGTCATATCGCCCAGCCCTCAATTTTGTTATTGCCCTTTTTCAGTTTAATTTATAATGAAATAACCTGAAGCTTGCACCTGGGCCCTCTACCCTGTTTTGATGTTTTGATGTGACACAGAAGTAACCAAAGTAGCCAAAACTTGCACAAGAAAAAAAATATAATCTAAGGCATTAGGTAATCTGAAGACTGTCCTAAAAGAAGATGGCTCATGTCATGAATTCCTTGTTATTCAATAAATACATGATATCAAAAGCCCACAGCTATGCTAGCTGCTCTCTGAAATTGTATACAATTGTTTTTTAAAGAAGAATGTGCAGCGTTTTACACATAAATAAGAGCAGAAATCAAGTTAATCCTGTTTAAATATCTTTCAGAGTCATGACTGTCGACAATGAGTGAGAAGCACGAGTCCCACTGGCTGTGTTGTTGTCAGAGCTGTGTTTACAGGATGGACGTCTCCTCCTCTTGTGTATAAAAGCTGTTGAAGTTGTTGTTTTACATACTCACTGCTTATTTGAATGTCACCTAAGCCTTTTCACATCAGTCATTCCGTGTAAATGTACATGCAATGTGAAGCTAAGAGCTAACTAAAGATGTAGTTCGCAACAATTGTAGCAAATGGCAATTTTGTCCGCTTTTGTGAGAACGCGAGTAGAGGTGGGTTGTAGGTGAGTCTCTGGAGGAGAGCGGAGGCTTCAGTATGGAGGAGGTGTCACCAAAGTTCTGTTTGTTTTGGATACATGCTGGTGCTCAAGGGCGACATCTACTGGATCAATGTCTTTAAGGATCTCTACTGGATCTTCCCGTCAAGCTAACGTTTATTAGAAACATGAATGTTTATTTAACATGTTACAATGTAAGCATTTGAACCAAAGCATTAGCATGATAAAAATGTCGGAGCAAAATTCTTTTGACTCACAATCCTGGCAGTTGCAAAATTTAATATTTATTGTGCAAGTTATATCTGTACTTTGTTAAAAAAATATTAGTTGATCTTCATGCAGTCACAAATAGTCATCCCTGATGAGCAACACAGTAAACTTTGCAAGAAGAAATGATGTATTTTATATAAAATGTACAAAAAAAGACTAAACAACACGCATAATTTGAACAAACATTTATTTGTGAATTCTATGACAAACAGGAGGCAGTTATAATATCTCATTTTACAGCTAGCTACATCAGTTGGAAAAACAAAACCTCCCAACACTTTAAAAATCCACATGGATCAAATGTTCTCATTGAATATGTGCTGCCTTTTTTTGTTTTGTTTTTTCATTACCTTCAAAACTTATGTACAGAAGAAACACTCCAGAGTGTCTATCACATGAGAGAGAGAGAGCTACATACTTCTACAGCAACCTGGTCCAGATCAGCTGTTGATATTCAGCTTTTCTCAATGAAATTAAAAGGACAAGAGTAAAAATCTTTTCCTTTCTTTTCAAGTTGCAATACAAGGGGGCCATATTTCCTTATTGTGTACTCATTCTATATTCCTTTCATTGCATTCTCCTTTAACTCAAAGAATCAAGCGTTGTACAAAAAGACGGGTTGGTTATATAGAGCGCATATACAGGCAGGCAGTCTCTAGGTTATAGTTTGCCTTACTTTAGGAAAAGCGAAGAGTTTATGTACACATCGTCAGGGTGTTAGAAGAAGTGAATGGCATGGAGAAATATTTGAAAGGATGGAGAGAGACACACACAAAGGGAACAATGACACCCATGGTTGGTGCCGTGCAACCTGTATAAAGTCATCAATCGTTGGCTGGTGGTGCTGTGATGTAAAACTGTCTGTCATTGGCTGCAATTTGTTTAGTACTCTTTATAACCTGAGGGGGGTGGAGCAAATGTAACACCTGGCAGGCAGGTGGAGAGGCTGGAGAGACAGAGACATAACTGGCCGATGACATCAGGGAGCAGAGTGTCATTGTGACTGCATCAGTTCAGATTCTTTACATTACATGCAAGAAAATAGGTCCAGGTTTATAAAATCTTAGCCGGAGCTGTAAGATGATGTCAAACTATGATGAAATCTGATGTTTTGCTTCTGCAAAAGTCTTAAAAAAATTATTATTCACTCTTAAAGTAATACAAAAAGTTATTTTGAATATCAGTTAAAAATGTGAACTGTGTTTCCATGTATTTGTATCCTGTGAATGTGACGTAAAACTCAGCATAATAGTTTCATCCACAACCCTGAATATGTGCAGACTCTTCATTATCATGTCAAATACAGGCCCATGTTCAACTTTGCAATATCATAAGAAAGCCTAAGACGGGAAGCTTAAATATTTCACCAAAATGTCACCTTGATACAAATCCTCAGCCGTTTGAAGGTCTTGTCCACCCGAAAGTGAAGCAAAACAAATTTCTAAGGCATACTGTACTTTTGAAACCTTGACTCTGAGATCCCTTATTGGCCTGCAACATGTATTGTCTGTCAGAATGTATGTAGTACAGTAGCAACCACTGAAGATCGATGTAAACATAAACAGCCTACACCCACTGCAAGACATCAACTTAAGACATTTAAACTTTACTCCAGATGTTTTTCATCTGGAATGAAGCATAATCATACATTATGTTCTCAGTTGGAGACAGGAATTTGCAGAAAAGAAAACATTTTGATTGATCATTAGACATCTTTGTCGAGGAAAGGCACAAGGTGACCTTCTCACTGACAGATACACGAAAGACGATTGGACTAAAGCCCTGGTAGCAAGTATGTTGAGAGGGGGTGATGCACATCCATGATTCATTTACACGAGTCTTTGATGACGTTTAGTAATGGTGTAAAAAGTTTAAGAGGTAGTACAGAATCTGCTTAGCTTTCTCCGGATCAAGAACTTTCACCACTGTTAATGACTTCGGCAGCATCGGCAATATTTGATGGATCGAAAGTAAAAACCAAAAAATATCTCTGTGCTTGTCTTATCTTTGCACAGTAACTTTGAATGATTAAAGCACTTATTGTTTGAAGTAAGGGATCGACATTTCTTGAATTAATTTCAGTCTTTTGTTAAAGTGGATTGGTTTCAGGTTTGTGCTTGTATTTGTTACATTTGTTTTGTTTGTTTGTGTCAGATTTGAAAAACTTTCAAACAAATATGTCATGGATTTCAAACCTGATATTGGCACATGTCGTCGTTTTACATGCTACTGTTTTTAATTTCAAATGCAATAAAATCGAAAGGACGTTGAGCAAAACCTGAAGAAATATGCCTGATAATGAAAGATTCCATAGTTCTGCAGAGCATGGTTTGTTAATAAAAACGAAGGAATGGTGCCAAATCTAATGTTGACGAATGATGAGGGTTGCTTTTTGTTTTCAGAATATTTTCCCAGTGTGTGTGAGGAATGTCTGTGGGAAGACTTGAGTTATTATGTGACAGTCGATACTAAAGACAGGAGAGCCAACTCTGCTTGTTTCACTCAAAGACTGTATAAAGAATGGCCAACACAACACCTCACCTGAAGTGAAGCCAGAACATTTAGCGCTCTCCCCACTGACAGGCTGCAGTAAAGGTCATTAACCCTGCCTTCCCCATGTTAACAGATGGGAAATGGGTCAAACCATAACATCAATATAGACAGGTCAAACTAATTTTTACCAAAAACCAAATAATCTGTTCTGCTGTAGACTGTCCCGTCCTGGTGGATCTCTGCTGGTTAATGGGCAAGTTAAATATGTGTTTTCATTGGCTGTAGCAGTGTGATGTCAACACTGTGGCTCTTCCAGCCGATCCCTATTGCACAGACTTTTTCAACATTGCCTAATGGGCAATATGTAAGCACCTGTCAGGGGGGTATTTTGGCTTCATCTTTGTACAGTGAAAGGAGGTTTAAGTGCATTGTCCATCTTTATATACAGTCTGTGGTTACACTCATTCTCTCGTGGGAATGCGTATGTTTTCACCAAAGATTTGTCAGCAATAATTGACAGAGCTTACGTGCCACATTGATGGAAATGTATTTCTCTCCTGCCACACTGTTGTGTCTGTGAGATGTGTCCGGACTATTTTGAGTGTAGACAATAACATGTTGGTCAGCCTTTCCCCTTAATATGCAGTTTGGACTGTAATTTGTGTGTAAGCATATGACGCTGGCTTTAGTGGCTAGTTTCTGTCAAAAGTAAGGATTATCACGGCCTGTCTCTCGGTTGGAGTAACTTGGAATGTGACATACTTCTGTCATCTGACATACTTTACGCTTTCAAGACATTGTTACTGTGTTGGTATATTGAATTTGAAGTGTGCAACATTAGACAAGGAGCATCTATGATCACTGATGTAGTCCTACATATTCACTGTGGTTTGATGGAATACAGGAAACCAAACTTTGTGTTAAAAAGAAACTTGTCCTTGGAAAACTTTCTCCCGTATATGCATCAGTCGCATCAGAATAATCTGTTTTCAACATTTCCCCTTTTTTAACTCTTAATACACAACATGCCCAAGCATCAAATAAATTCTCTGCAGTGACTGCATTGTGTGATGTAACTACAAAGCTTTAAAAGTTAGAAATATAGCAAACAGTAGAAGGGAGTGGATGAGTTCTCAGCCCTATTGGCTGTGTTTCTGGGACACTTAAAAGCATTTTTAATGAGGTTCTGGTCAACTTTATGGTCTCAGTGTTTTAGCCAATCAGACTAGCTTGGCTTAAACAAAGTTTGGTCAAGAAATAAGACTATTCATGTGGCAATTAGGCCCGTGCCTTGTGTAGTGGTAACTGCTTCGGACTGGTTGATGTTCTACCAGCAGTGAGGTCAAGAGTGGAGACAGAGAGAAGCATTTAGTCTGCGGGTTTTTCCTCACTGTTATTCAGATACATGAAATGTTACTAAAATGCCCTTTTTTTAAACTGCTGAGTCAGATGTTGTCTCAGATGGTCATATGCTCAACTGCTGCTGATACAGAAAATGGAAAGAGTAAACACATTATAGCACCATGGTAACTAAATGAAAAGAAGTGGAACAACAAGAAAAAAATAAAACAGAAATAATTTACGTTCCAGGAATTCAATAACCATTGATATAAAAACATTTTTTTATACTTTATATTCTAGAACCTTCTATACCTGTAAAACCATTTGCCTTCCTCCACAATGATACAGTACTGTGTTGTAGTTGTAGTCCAGCCTGATCATAATAATGTGCATACAAACATTCTTACCCATTTAAAAAAAAGGCTTGGTGGGGTTAATTGAGTGTGAATGGAGTCCAGTTTTGGTGTGAGCTGACTGATAGGAAACCTGACAGGCACTTTGAATATGGGTCGATTGATTTGAAAAGAGAAGGACATGGCAAACACAGAGTGACGTGAGAGACATGAATAGAATTCCCACTATGATTGTTCTCAGTTTATGATGTTTTTTCTTATAATTTAAATCAACTTTAACTCGTGTCAGCCTTCAATTTCTTCCACTGGTAGCACGCATTGTACGTCAAGACATTTTATCTTGCTGAAACCGGCTGCATGTAAGTACAAAAAGATGAACGTGTTTTAATTTAGAAAAACCTTTTTCCCCCAAAAGGCTACATTTAAAAATATTATAAGTTCATAAAAAATATTTGTGAATGTGTTTCTTAAAAATGTAAAACTGCCAGTGCTTTGATTACTGTCACTGCAGATGGTCAGCAACAACTTTTAACCTTTTGTTTCCAAGATGACGATTGAACGCTACATTTTTGAATGGAGTGTTTACATTAGCTATGCTATCATTGTAGTACTATGAATTAAGATATTCAATGGAGAAGAGCAGAGACAAGGGAGGAATTTAGAGTTGAATATCCCATTCATACACACACAAACAACTGAGAAAGACTTTAATAAAAGAAATGCATTGACTGAATTTCCTTGGACTTTGGAGTTAGTATGCAGTTCTGGTATATGTAAGTTAGGATGGTAGCATTTTGAGTTTGGACAGATCATATCTGGTCCCTTCAAGCTCAGGGAGGTGTTGGATATCAAGTCAATGTTATTATAATTATTTAACAAAATAGATTATGGTTATCAGATTCAAAAGGTAAAAAAAACAGTGTAAACCTGCTTCATTTTTTGCAACTTATGGAACAAATAATATGAATGTTGGGCTTCAGAAGTGAGACCTCAACCAAATAGCAGAGGCACTCTTAAAACCTCTTAAAACCAGAAAAAGAAAACATGATTGCTCCATACGGTGCAAAGCTGAGTTTGCGAATGGGCTTTTAGGTTTCCATTATTATCAATGAAAATATTCCCCAATCCATACAACCACCTTAAATGTTTAAGGACAGTGTGCTGTAGGTTTAATGTGAGTAGTTCTCTATTTTTGAAGGGGCGTTGTATGAGGTACTTTTCAATAAAAAAGTGTATCACCTAAAGTCACGCAGTTTGGTTGTAATTGACAACCGAGCACCTGACTACGTAGTGCTAAAACAAAAGGGCTTGCTGATGGTAAAGTCAAAACCCTGCATACACTGACATTGTCATGGAATTTTTGGTCTGTTTTTCTTAAAAACAACCAAATGACGTGGTCCGAACAACCCCGTCTGCAGTGATGTATAGCCTACTGTAGCTTCAGTGAGGGCACACCAGCGCATTTCTCAATAAAGGGGCTGAGCTGGTCAGCATCCCTTGATGGTATCGACAAGTACCCCATAACACGTACAACCCCACTTCAAAAATACTGAACTATCCTGTTAAGGAGTACTCTTGACATCAGTGAAATCAGTTAAACATCCCAGAAATATGACACAAGCAGGCACTTTCTGCCTGCTGGACCAGGGTCAACTTAATACCAATCAGAAGTAGTTAAGAAGTACATTTCTTTGGAAGATGTCTTCCAAATACAAGGTCATAGCTACAATCTCACATAACAGTCCCGTACATGCTGTCAAAGTCCTGCTGGGGACAAAGTGGACAGGTACATTTAAACAAGCCTGCAGAGCTTTTAAGTTGTTTTGGTTTTTCTAAACAACAATAGCAGGTGCTTGATCAAGTCAGATCAGTTAAATGGTCTTAATGTTTGGAGCCTAATATCCACTCGTACTCCAGGTCTGGTCAAAAGTTCCTGAGCATTTCTTGTTGCTCCCTAATTCAATATGAGAATAAAAAGAAACAGTTCTGCAGCTGAGGCAGATACATCGTCGCAATGCAGACTTTTCAGATCCTTGTTGAGCTTCGTTGTGCTAATCCATCATGAAGGCATGATTGCATTTCCCAGCACAGGGTGTGTGAACTCGAGTATGTTCAGAGAGAAATTCACTCTTTTGAGGTTGATGGTTCCAGAGCATAAAACAAAATTTAGGATTTTTTTTAAGGTGAGATAGATGTTCCCTTTCCAGTTGTATACCATAGCTCGCAAAGAAATATAAGCACTCTCACTGCGTATTCAAACTGGGTCCAAACCCTTAGTGTCTCCTCGCTCATCTGTAAATCCAGCATTGCTGCTGGTCCAACTGCATGATGTCATCATCATTTGTAACGCCTCTTGAGAGTTTGGTGGGGAGGTCCAATCCTGACATCATATTTTACTTGTCAAACTCTATTCAGCTGAAAGAGTTCTCGTAGTTTAGAGTTCTCGTAGTTAAGATTAAGAGTGTGTAAATTTGTATGTCCTGCTGGTAGTTGGTTGGACCATTGCTGGGTTGGACTTTTAGTCTTCCCTGTCCTTGGCATGGGAATGGCATAGTCTAAGACAAGTGTAACAATGCCTAGGTTCTGTATGTGTGTATTTTTAATATATGAGTGGCAGTGTGTGGGGCAGCATGTGCAGTGTGCTTGTGGTGTGAGTGATGTTTGGCAGTGCCCCTGTGAGGCAGGCTATAGGTGTGTATGTACATGTGATGTGAGGTGTGTGTTTTCATGGCAGTGGTGTACAGTGTTTGTGAAGAATCAGTATTGCAGTGAGTGTATCTTTTGCAATGTGGCAGTAGAGGTGTGGTCACTCGTTGGAGGTGTCCCCCTTTTCCTCGATTGCTGCTGGGGACTCTTGTGGGCGGTGCTTGCACTGGCCGAGGGAATGTCGAGCTGGAGCTCTGGATGGTCTTGCCAAGCAGGAAGACTGGGCCACACAGTCACAGAGTGCATCCTGGGTGGGGTGGGGAAAAAGATGTGTTATTAACCATAACATGCAAGTAGGAATTTTTATTTCCAACTTTACCCAAAAAACAAGTTGTTTCATCCATTTTAACAATGAATAACATGAAGGCAGATGTTTGAAACCTTACAATCCCAATGTATCCATAAACGGTATCAACTAAATTGAGTACTTATTTTAACTCTTTATTTTCCCTTTCATTGGCAGTCTTTTTCATTTTCATTTCAGAAACGGATAGACACTAATATCATCTGCATTAGTTAAAAAATGGTAGACACCAATTCAGCGTGCTATCGCATGCTTTAGAAAAGGTAACATTCTGCATCAATAGTGGCTCACTAAATAAAACATTCTTGAACTCAGATTAGTTGTTTTTATTGTTTAGCTATGATGTAAAGAAAATGTTAAGGAGCATTTCCATTGGCCGTACCTCCATGCCAGATCCTGCAGGTCCTGTGTTGCATGTTTCTTTCCCTCCTCCCATGATAGTGACCATCTCCTCTCCAACCGTCTGTCTCATAAACCTCTTATTGACAATCCTGGTGACATTTTCATTGCCTCCACCCAACCCAGCCAGCACCCCAAGTCCTCCCCCCGCAGCTGATATGCACTCCGGCTTGGGCTCATCCATGGCACTCAAACCTCCCAAAACACCCACACCTCCGAGGCCGTTTTGGGCTCGGTCTGCCGGCAGGGTGACTCCTGCCTGGACACGACTGCTGCAGACGTTCCTGAAAAACTCCTGGACCAGGCTGCCATATTGCTGAGAGCCTGGGTCAGGTACGCAGACAGACACAGAAGAGGGTTTCCCTGCAGCTGGAGGGTGCCGGGCTGGACTGGCAACTTGGCTGGCTCCTAGTGGAAAGCAGAGAACAATGTTGGAGTGATTACTACAAATTACAGTTGGAAGACCAACTCTGCATTGACAGGCTGAATTGAAGCTTGTAATATTTGACGACACCAAAATGTCCCATTGGGCTCTAGATTTGATTTGATGATTGTCTCGAATTATTACATTTTCATTTATGTTTTGAGCTTCAGTTCTGTATTCAGTGCATTAGGACACGCGCTTAGCAATGTACAAGATGTCAATAACAACACAGAATGTCAGCAGTTTGTTGGCAAAAAAATGGTAAAATCTGAATTCTAAGGTAATTGAATTCAAAGAAAAAAATATTGCCTATAGAAAGATCTTTCCCCCCCTTAGATTCCCTGACATGTGTAGCAAAAACACAGGGCTGCACAGATGACATATCAAAATGTCTTTAAAAAAAATAAGTGGTACCTCCATCACCCCTCCAGAGTGACTCGGTGCTCCCAGTGTGCTCCACCACGCTGAAGAGGCTGGAGAGGCCATCAGTGACGCCGCTCAGGACTGGGCTGTCCCTGGTGGTGGTGGAGCGAGCCCATGCGGAGCCTCCTCCCCCTCCCATGGATCTTTGCTGGAGGCTCCACAGGCTCCGGTCCCTGGAGGAGGTACTCCCATCCAGTCTGGAAGTGGAGCCTGAAAACAAGACAGTTTGGTTTCTCAGTCTCCCCCAAAAAAATAGTGTTTCAATAAAAGAATCAAGGCACCAGATAAAAACGCAGCAGACTGTATCATGGCTTGGCTTAAAATGCTCCAAGTATGCTCAATACAATAAAGATTCTTACCAGAAGACACTCTACGTTGTAGTTTTGGTGATCCATACTTGGGTGAACAGCATGGTCTGTCAATGCGGCTGTGAACTTTATCCAGGGATGTCGAAATCTGCCGGGTTCGGGCCGAGGCTAGAGGAGAGGTTGTTGATGATGACGGGCGGGGAGACCAGGCTTTGGAGTGTAACCCAGCCCCCCTGCTGCCCGAAAGGTTGTCTGTTTGAAGTCCAATGCTGACGTATTGGGCAGCAGTCTGTGTGGATCTGGAGGACATACCGACCCCCTGAGTGGAGAAATGGAAATGATGGAGAATATTTAGAATGCAATGAAGATTGTCCGCAACAACTTATTAAGCAAGACAGTTCTGAATATTTCCCTTAAAATGCAACCACATGTTTTAGTATAAAGGTATGTATCATCATAAAGGTATTTACAGTGACCAGCTGTAGGTTAAAATTACACCACTACATTGTTTGGCCTTTCTTTTTTTTCCCGCCTGACTCACAGGTTCCTTGGTGGATTTCCTCTCCAGGGACGAAGAGCGTATGGCCTGTCTGACACAGTTGGTCATCTCCTTCATGTCATCACTTAAATTGGCGGAAATCTCCCCCATCTCAAGACCATGGAAAGCTGACGGGGAGGTGATCCCATCGACCAAACTATTAGCAGAGCCACCAATGCCATTGCTGACAACAATGGGGATTGAACCTGAAATACAGCCACTTCTGCTTTCCAGCAACTCCCTGTGCTGCTTGGACAGTGAGCTCAGCCATTGCTCGTATGAGGATGAAAAGGAGGATGGAAGTTGTTGAACCTGCAGGGACTCCAGAGGAGTCATGCCTACATCTGAGCCACTCAGTCCTACGAGAGAGCTGCCGTTCTGTGCCTGCTGTGGCTCTTTGGCATCCTGGTTCCTGTTTCTGTGCTCCATGCGTCGTACTGCAGGAGGGCTGTAGTAGATCCTGATGCCGGTGCGGTCAGGAGCCGTGTAGCTCCTCTGGACTGACTCCAGGTCGAGCTCTGATCCCACCAAGCTGCTACATGAGCCGCTGGGGCCATCCCAGGTTTTACAGGTATCCCCAACATCTGGGGCCTGAGAGGAGATGAGAGAGCGGGGACAAAATAAATCTTTAATTATTATTAGTGTACAATGTATTTACCCTGCTGTCTTCACTTTAAATATTGTTGGGTTTGGAAGTGGGAATTTCTGATTACCTCTAAGATATCAGTAGTTTTTAAGATTCCCTGGACTATAACAGGATTGAGAAATTACATTTTATTTGATTTTACATAGATCACTTACTTCACTTGTCTTCCCAAAGATATTAGAAGTACAATTCTTAAAATAACCTGTAGATGTAGAAAATCTTAATCACCTCATTTGTCAAGTAGGTCCAGTTCTTCCTGCTGAGGTCACCCAACTCTGAGCGAATGAAAAGAGGTGAATCTGCAAACTGGATCTTCTCTTGATTGGCTGTTCCATTGACTTCTGGGACATCGAGTTCAGATGTGGATTTGGTTCTTTTTCAGAGACAAGAGGTGTTGATTTAAAAACAACTTCTCTTTTCCAATTGAAAAATGAACACCCATATGAAGCAATTTTTTCCATTTTCATTTTTGCAAGTAAAAGGAACTGATGGAAAAGTCCAAAACTCAAATATTTCAGTTTGTTTAGGAAATGTTCCATGTTTCACCAAATGGAAAGGTAATGTGTAATTCATTGACTTAAAAAATATTTCAAAGCTAGTTCTTCAAAAACACGTTTAAATTGTTACCTTGGTGATCCTGTTCCATTGGTGATGACTGTGTCAGCAGAGGACTCGCTGCCTGAGGGCTTGGACTGTGAAGACAAAAAACATCAGACTATGAGTGAAAAAGGAAACAATGGACCCACTTACTTTTACAGACAACAAATGACCTTCCCCATTGGTGCAAATTGCTCCTGTGTTATTCTTTATTTCCTCACACAAAAAACACAAAAACATCCTGCAATACATCCACTGAGGGCCAAGTTTCTAAATGCCTTCCACTTCCTCTGGAGCTGTCTGGCAGAGGAAGTGGAGATCGACGAGTATCTCTCTGTGGCAGACAGTGGCAAACTCATACACACTGACACACACACACATATACACACAGATGGAAATGCTGAGTCAGTGTGTTTCTTAATCTCTTACACTGAAGCCATTTCCCCTCCGAGGACAGAAAGTGAAAGAGTGAGAGTGCAAAAAGGGAAAAGGACATCTGCAGATTATGTGCTTAGTTGTGCAGATAAACTGATGGTCTTTCACCTTCAACTCAATGAACTGCAGACAGTGCACAGTGGGTGTGTTCAATATACTGAGATAAATATACATCTTCTATACTGTACACCTTCCTACTCAACTTCTGCGGTTGTTTAGAGAGGCATGGAGCTAAAACTTTGTTGTCTGATTCTGTGAAGAACCTGAAAAATCTACACAGTTAGATAAAAGTAATGTGCTTTGATGGGTAAATGTTACATTAACCCATTAAATGAAAAGGCTAATATGGATGAATCGGCCTTGCTGTATTACAAACTTATAACTGTAGCTTTTACTGGGAAGTTACAAATCAAAATGATAACCTATTGTATTTGTGTCACCTTACACCTCATCAATGTTTCAACTGTAAATACAACAACTTCTAAAATAACAAGCAATTCTTAATAGCTTTAGCTAAAGTCAATCCATCCACCCATTTTCTTCTGCTTATCTGGGGTTGGGTTGTGGTGGCAACTGACTATAGCCAAGTTCGACAGGGGATCCAGAGGATTTCCCAGGCCAGAAAGGGTTTACAGTATAAAATCCCTAAGGTGCAAAAGAAAAATAAATCTGGCTGCCTTTTCACTAACTGGCCTGAGAGGGGCACTATAGTCAAATACCTGGAGTGTTTGAAAAGGCACAGAGCAGCAGAGCAGACAGTGGATTAGATTTGTGGGTGTCAGAGCGTGACACAGACACACTCAGAGAGACTCAGACAGAGTGAATTAAAGTATGACATGCTTCGGCCTCCTGCCAAGGTTCCAGAGCAGGACACAGCGGAGTCAGACGGAATCACACTTAACAGAAAACCAAGGGAAGGAAGACGAGGGAGGGAGACAAGAAGGAGGAAAAAAAACAAGTACTGTATTTGAAAGGTAAGAGGGTGAGAAAGGGAGGATAAGATTTATCCCAGACTGAACACCTACAGTAAAAGGAAGCATGCATAGCAGACAGAGGAGAGATGGTGGAGGAGCTCTAATGTCAGTGTGTGGGTTCATGTCTGTGAGCCACAAGTAATGACCACTTCAAAAAAGTGATGTAATCTCACTTCAGCCATTCCTGACATGTTGCAGCAGCTGGGCAGCAGTGACTGCACTGGTGTATAATCAGCAGATCTAAATGGCCGCGTTTTCCTGGAGAACAAAGTGTAACATTAAACTGCAGCTTAACCACTAAAACCAGAGAGGGTTCCTATTCACATTATGCTGTTGCTTTCTGTTGCTTCTGACGACATCAGCAAAGTATCCTTACAGGAAAATACCACCTGGAACACAGCAACTGGAAACATTTTTAGCAATTTGATGGCTATGATCAAATGAAAGCCCTAGGACAAGTTGGATCAAATATGAAGCCTGTAAAGCGCTAAAATTAGGCATTATTTTAAAATTCAAAACAAAATAGTAGGCTTTCTGTTGGGTTTTTGCTACGGTCTGCAAAAGGATTTTCTGTAGGTGACATGGTCAATAAGCAAACCAAATTCCATACATGTAGGGGAAGGTTTTCCTCTATGGGGAAGGCTTATTAAAAAATGTTAAGGGGGTGCTTTTGAGCCATTTTGCAAAAGTCATCCATAAAACCACCAAAATATGAAAAAATGTCACAAGGCCTGATGCATATGCCAAATTTGGTGAGTATTCGGGCATGTTCAGGCCCCAAATAATGTGATTTATGTGACGGAAAGAACCAATAGTATCCCCGCTCTAAAGTCAGTGCTCTGGCCATGATTATCTGTCAGAGAAATATGGGAGATCATCAACATTCACACTAAATGTACAAGGCAACACACATATTTTTCCTTTTAATAAACTTCAATGTCCTTCTTATCTTAAGCATACACCCTCTTCCAGTCAGATTGTATCATCTCAACATAAAGCCAAGCCTTTTTTATTTATTTAAATCTTTGACATTTCTCTCTCTGCTTCTTGCACACACTCCAAGTCATGCTGCTCTGCATACCTTCCCCTGCTGTGCCGTGGCCTCTCTCAGTCTCTGCTCCCACTGAGCCCTCTCCTGGCTGAACCTCTCCAGCAGCTCCAGCTTCTCTCTGCCCCAGTTCCTCTCTCCAATCTGAAGCTGATTGGTTCGTAGGTTGGCCACAGCAGAAAGAGAGATATAAGAGGAGATCATAAGATGGGGGGAAAAGGGATGCATTTGGAGTGCACACCACCAGAATATGTCAGCTGAATTTGAAAAATCACATTTCAAATAAAGTACAGCTCTGATCCAAATTACAGATCAGACCTTAAACCTTTATTTACAGTTTTCCTTTTTCAAATTATGTTATTAGTTTTGTCCATGTAAAAAGTTTTCCCTTCTGACCATACTGTACTTAATCCAAACTCACAAAAACACACATCTACCTGTTTAGTTAGGTCCATTACAGCCGCATACGAGTCAGCCAAGAGATGCTGGTGTTCTTCACGCTCCCTCTTTAGCGCCACCTTCAGGTCTGGAGGTTCAAGTGCATCATTGGCAGACAGAGCTGCTGCTGGTTTCCCTGCCTTGGTTTCAAGCTGGAAGCAGAAATTAATATAAAGAGAGGGGGTCAAAATAAGTAAAAAAAAACAAACCAATATTCTCTTAAATCATTGAGAACTCAAAAATGCTACTTTGGTACCCATGTTATCACATTCTTTCTCACGTTTTGATTGATCTGTGTGTGGGTTTTGTGTGTATACATGGAGCCAGTCCAACAGACCAGCCTTACACGGATGCATAAAGTTCTTTGAAGCTGCATCAAATGTTTGCACGTAATTTAACTTTTTGTTATCAAGGCATCTTTTTCAGAAGCCTATCGAAATGAGAATCACCCTGGGAAGAGGTAACTGGATATGCGAACACATCTCACCAGCTACATCACGGTAAATGTTAATTAACAACAATGTTGCCAGGTGGCGGTGACATTTAGTCTGGCCAAACCTGTAATTTATGCACAGACAGTGACTGGGAATAAGTGGCACCTGTTCACTGGCTGCATCAAAGAACACAGTCTGGAACAATTCATCTGTGAATTACATCTAAATCTTCCCCTAAACAATGAGCGACAGGGAGGAGACAAAAAAGGAGCTGCAAAGTAAAATCAGCTGCAGTGGAAGGATTCAATTCTTTAGTCTGAGAAAAGTGTTGTGATGTGAAATACTGTTATATAACTGGCATACTAATGTAAACCAAGCAACCTAAAATCTTACAGGAGAAAAAGTCTCATGTAGCAATGTTTTGAATGATAGACTGAATGTACAAAAGCATATAACTAGCACTTTTAGGTTAAAAAGGGGGTAAAAAGTTAGATCTTCTCTGGTGAGTTTAAGTGCCAGGTATATACTGTACATGTCAAAGTACAAGTCACTGTATGGGGGTGCCTGTGGTCAAGAGGTTAGTTTGTGCACCCCATATACAGAGGCCTCAGCCCTCAAGCAGGCAGCCTGTGGCTCGTCGGCCAAATGTCATTCCCAACTGTTTTATCCCTGATCTCTGACGCTATCCACTTTCCTGTCCCTCTAATAAAGGCATGAAAAGCAGTACAAGATAATAGAAATGTTGCTTCAGCATTGTCTTTTGTGCAATTGTATACACAACCACCTAAAACAGTTGCAATGACACGAACAGAAACACATAATAATCACCCAAAAATCACTTTTATAGCTATACAAGTACTTAAAACTTTATTAGACCACACAGATTATTTAAGAAACTGTGTGCCCATGTTTTGCATCCTCGTGTGAAACAGTTTATAAATCATCGCATGCACATGTTAAAAGGCAACATATGGAAGTTAGGCAAAACAAAATATCCACACAGTTTAAATCATCATTTTGTGTTGAGGAAATTATGAGGGGGGAATTGTTAAGTATTTTTCTCAGTTTTTCCTTTTCAGCCCGAAGATCTCTCAGCTATTTGTTCTCTTTGCTTCTTTACCTTTCTCCCCTCTCTCCATCCTCTTCACCCCTTCCCTCTATCCCTCTCTCTCTTTCTTTCTGCAGCATTCTTACCCTCTATTTTGAGCTTCTTCACACCCTTTTTCGCTCTCCATAAATCTGGCATGCTGTCACAGAGCCTGTAGGTGGGATTGCTTGAATTTTTTATGAGTAGGTCTGCTTTCCCTCTTTTCCCCTCTGTCTTAGCGCCATAGTTCACAAAGCCGACACTAGCGAGTCCATCAATTTGATACAGAGACACTCACACTCATGTGGACACACCCACCCTCCCCAGACCCATCAATCCTCTCCCTGCCTCTCTTGACCTGACTCTGTGGCAGTGGTGTCTGTATATATGGCGCTAATGGAACTGCCTAGCAGCCAATAACAGTGCAACGCACGCACCCTGAGCCCATCTCCTGTCTCCCATGGCAACAGAGTAAATGGCTAATGAGGAACACGGCTTAACGAGCCCCGTGTCTTAACTAGGTTTACTGCTGATGCATAAAAAAAGAGGAGATTTTTACTGGATGACTGGCATTTTATTGGTTGATGAGAGGCGTCTGTTTCACAACTCGCTGAACACCATTTAGCAAGTTCAATTACTTTTATTTATTCAACTAAAACGTTGACTATAAAAGTGCAGATTTATTAATTAAGTTTAACCAACAAGAGATAACTGCAGGGCCTGGGATGTGAAGAAATGTCTCTTACAATACAGAAAAAACCCTGGAAAAACAACAACAAAACCAAACAGTCAAGAGCTGCTAACACGAGGTGGAAACACATTACACCCACAGACTGTTTAAAATCATGAGTGGGAGGTCAAGAGGAATTAGTGAATTTATTTGATCACTTCTCTATCTATTTTTCTAATTCTTTCACCTGTTAGGGAATGTATTAAGAGTATTATTCTACCTGAAAAACAAAAACATTGAAACGTCTCATAAGCCCTCTTAAAATATGCAGAGAACACTTAGAACGTCCTGAAATTTTCGGGAGTGTGATGCATGTGTGAAAGCAAAAATCAGAATTTTTTCGCTCTGACTTTATCCAAAGTCTTTCCTTCTAGCTAACTTTTAAATTATCTGTGTGGAATCAGAGTGAGCTGATATGAGAACACAGCAGGAAGTAGTCAGGAAAGTTCACAGCGAGTTAGTCTGAGGTGGATGGCGTTCATATCCTGCAGCTCGCACGCTACCAGCGCAATCTCTGCCTTATTATGTTTTCTGTTCGCCAATATGATCCTCTTTGCACTTTCGTTATTACTGTGTAAACGTTGAACTACATTTAGAATTGATATAAGGGCAAAAAGTGTCCTACATTTCCATGTTGTTCTTTTTACGTCTCGTCGTGTCCCCTTGCCCTGCCTCACTCCTGTCCCACAGGGATATTCTCCTGATGTGAGGTGCATGTGTGAACAAGCCACTCAGGAAAGTTTCAGAGGCCGCCTGCCAGACATTTCCAGGATTGCATGTGTTCCAACATCTTTAGAGAATGGATGAATACTTAATACACTGTAAAAAAGTATACTGCTGAAGGAAATAAGATCGTAACTGCAAGGGAAACGATATTAATCTTGCCGAAATACACAGTGTATGACAGTCGCTTTTGTGCAGGGTATTATTAGCCTGAAGCAGATTTCTGCCATAAAACATCATGTGATCTGTTTTGCATACCACCCGTCAGCTGTTAATTGAGAAGAATACGGAAACCACAACCCTCTGCAGAGATGAAATCTGTGCCAGAGAATAAATACCATAACCTAGATATTATATAATGCACAGATGACACAGAGGGTAAATATAGTAACAAACACATACATTGCATGTTGTGTAATTAAATGTGATGTTGCCATGACGCTGTCAGTGGCACTTGATACGTAAATATTTTGAGAAACTCAAACACTGATTACCTAGGAATACTTAATATTTACTACAAATGGTTTAACCAACTCTGACTTATATGTTTTGTCTACATTTAGACCAATAATGACAACTAAATCATTATCACGCTGTTATTGGAAATAGATCTGCATATAAAAAGAATAAGGAAGTCACCAGCTGCAGTAGGAAATAAGTAACAAGTGCTATAATACTAACTAGTATAAGTAATTTGGTTAAAAGATATGAAGAATGGTGTTCATGTGAGCCTAAAGAAGGTGTCTTCATAGCCTGAAGGCTCTTTGGTTATGCAGAGTTAAGACTATCCAGGACAGATCAAAACTCAAGTTACCAAGCACCTTTCGGCAGCAGCTATCAGACAGAGACGTCAGCTTGAGGATTAAGTAATAGTTTATTGATGTGGGGACTTAACAAATATTCCATCACCAGTCATCAACAATGAGAAAGCTTAACAATTTGAAGAGGACGAGGAAGGAAGGCCAAATGATTCTAGTTTTAGTGCCTGATAAATCACAGCATTAATATAATTGTTATATATGTCATTTTTGGACAAGTAATTTGTATAATGTTGGAGCAAATGACTAACATTTAAAGGCAGGGTTGGTAATTTTGGAAAACTAGCATGATTTTGAAAGTAGCATTCCCTCAGTGCTCCGTTTGCACTCACCCCCTCCCCTCTGTGCTCCCTCAAAAGCCACGCCCCCTCACTTACATGCACAAGCGCCATTGGTCCAGAAGCAGACCTCAGCTCACGCTTTGAGTGTGGGCTTGTGCATGCATGGGGTAGAGAGCGAGCAGGGAGACAGGGAGGCGTGTGATTGGTTCATCAGATTGGTACCTTGTGGCAGACATTGGTCAAAGTTATGACATGTTTACAACTGCTACAGATGACGGCTTTCCGTTGTTCCTTTTTCAGAGCACATGAGTTATTAATGTCTGTCAGGACTTAAAAAAAAATTCAACCAAAATCTTGTGTATCTGGAGAAAATGACCAACCCTGCCTTTAACTTTACATAAAGACTGATTGATTACTTAGTAGCATCTGCACTTGAGACGACTTCTCCACCCCCCTTTCTCCTCATCTCCACGTCTTTACTGAAGTGTATGCAACAGTGCTGATCTATCAATTAGAGCTTCCAGCTGCTCAGTCTGTGTCATCATGGAAACAGCAGGTGTGACTAACATGTCCATACAGTCATGATGGATGACTGAATAAGAGGGGAAAAAAAGAAGGAAGGCACTGGTTGAACTGCGTGCTCTCGAGAATCGAGATATCTTTTCTACTTCACTGACGCCGTTTGTTCGGCATGCTGAATGCAAAAGATAATTTGCTGTCAAGAAATGTGACGGGTAGGACGGAGTTTGAAATTGATTTGACTTGTTCGACAAAGAAACAGCTGGGTGAGCTGCTGCACGCTGCCAGGACTCGTTGGCATGGATATGATTCAGTTGGCTGGTGGATGTCAACACTCACACTCACACTCACACACCACCAGGGCAGACTAATGGCATACTTTACAGTGTCTGCTTGTTGACAGAGAGGAGATGTTCCAGCTATGGAATCTAGGCCACACAAGTTTTTTAGGGATAGGTTACTGGGTAAGTGTAAAAAACATGTTTGTATGAACATTAATACAACATATATTTACATGACATGAGAACATGAAACTTGTGCTTTAGTGCTTTAACGTACAACATGATAAATGAGTTCAGACAACATGGTAAATTGGGAGTAAATACGAGAATAAATATAATCATTTTTATCTTGTAAAAAAACCTGCGTCTATGTCGTATTTAGCGGAAGTAAGAAAGTGTTATCACTCTGAAACACTGCACTCATATCCTATTGATCTGTCAAAGGAGCTGACAAGCCAATCAGAAGACAAATTATCTCGTTCCACAACATAAGAGCATCTCTCTATATTGATGACGATGATTAATGACAGCGCTGTGTGTGTGTGGGGGGGGGGTCGTCATGTGTTTCACTGCCTTTATGGTGAGGGCCATTCATGACTACACAATGGGACATTTTAGTTCTTGTATTTTGGGTTGGGACAGAAATAAGAAATAAATTCAATATTTTTTGAGAAATAAAGACAAATAAACTACCTTACACTTCTAAAATCTACTTTCCATCATCAGAAACCTTTTTTTCACTATCGCAACATTTAGCTTTAACATCTGTAGAAATATCTTTTACCTTTATTTCATTTTTCTGTTCCCCTGTTTTTATTGCAATGGGACTTTTCTGTTTTCTGCCTTTTTGGTCAGCCAAACTGATTCAACAAAGACTTATCAAATGCTAAATGTGTCATGGTTTGCTTTTGTTTAGTTAGTTTATTCCTTGTTTGGTTACTTAGTTAATTATCTATTCTAGTGTCTGATTGTTTCCTAGTTTAGTCTTCAGAGTTTCTTGTGTTATTTTGTAATTTTGTATCCTTGTGTCCCTCTATGTTCTAGTGTGTCTTGATGTTACATTCTGGAGTTTCTCTGTGTCTTCCCACAGCCCTCCAGTCCTGATTACCGTCATTGTCTTCACCTCTGTCTTATTGTCTTCACCTCTGTCTTATTGTCTTCACCTCTGTCTTATTGTCTTCACCTCTGTCTTATTGTCTTCACCTCTGTCTTATTGTCTTCACCTCTGTCTTATTGTCTTCACCTCTGTCTTATTGTCTTCACCTGTGTCTTATTGTCCTCACCTGTGTCTTATTGTCCTCACCTGTGTCTTATTGTCCTCACCTGTGTCTTATTGTCCTCACCTGTGTCTTATTGCCCCAGAGTCTATTTAGTCTCTGGGTGCATACGAATTGTCCGTACTACCCACTTTCAATCCGACCACATTTCCACTATAGGCAACGTCATTAAATGCGAGGGGCCGGCGGAGGTTAATGACGTTGGTCTGCCGTTGTGAAACTACAATGTTCCGAAAATGGACTACAAAAAAACGCATCTAAAAAACTTTCCCCTGTGCCTCTTATTAGTGAAATAATCCTAATTACCACAAGGAATTGAAATAAAAGCAATATAGGCTCCGAGTAACAAAAGTGAAACCATCACCTTCCTGTCTACTCAGAAATCAAAATTAATCTAAAATAAGTATAATGGTATGATATTAACTGTTACATTTGTGCAAGCTATACATAATGTTTTAAGCTTACAAATGTACAACTGCACAAAGCATTCTTAAGTGAATGAATTAAGTTGAATAAAACATAATTTTGCTAAAAATGTCTCTTACATGATCTGTGTCACTTTACGATCATTGTTAATTGTTGTGAACGGTCGGATGCGCGACTCGCTTTAAATGTTGCGGATGGTCCAGTGTATCCTATGCTAAAGGAGGCTATAAAGGAAGCATTGACCCACCTTTCCTTAGCTTTTCAGAGAACTGAACGGCTCTTATCATGGCTGCCACTTAAATGCTTCCGGGTCATTTCACTCAGTTAGGAACCTTCCTCTGTGTTTCTTCCCTTCTGTGTCAGATCATTATCGTATCGTATCGTATCGTGTCTTGCCCGAGAACACATCAACATATGGCTGCATAAGCTGGGGATCCAACCTCTGACCTTCAGGTTGAGGGACGACCGACTGAGCCACAGCCGCCCCTTTTACATTGGGTAAACAAAGAAAAAAAGGAAAATGACAGCATTTTCTTGACATTTCTGTCATCTGGTCTAATTCCTGGTAATGGGGTTTGACTTGACTGAGAAAGATCAACCAAATCCTAACGTGGATTACTTTAACAATTGGAAATGTGTGAGCAGTAAACTAGAATGCCGTCTTTCTGTGGTTACCATCAGAATCACCAAATTATTTGTAAAAATTGTTTGTCTCTAAAAGTGTAAACCTTACCTTTAAGGAAGGCTTTTTGCTCATCAAGTAGAATATTGATTCATGAGTGAAAGCACTATTGATTTATTTGATTTAGTCTTAAATGGTGAGAGAACACTACAACAATAAAGTGACATAAAGAGAAAATGAGAAAATGATGACAGGACTATGAATAGACATACAAACAACAGATGTTACCGTAATGGATGATGTAAGTGAAAGACATCTCTGTGAGAGTAAATAGAAGGAGAAAATATGAATAATGTCTGTTTTTGGAGAATGTGGTGATATCTGTTATGAAGAATGAGATGGTGGAGGGCGCTATTTATCATGCAGATTTCTAATGTTGTTTTAGAAAGAGCCTATACCTACTGTTTGGAATCTGTCATTCATGTAATTATCTGAATATACTAAAAAACATCCATAGCCATTTAGTAAATTAAAAACTTGTTTTTTTTCCTGACTCTCCAGGAAGTGTCCTTGCTGGTCTGCTATCAGATCCCAAAAGTGGACGTGCAAGTATGACCACACTGTTATATTTCAAGATGAGTCATTGAACATCTCTCAAGTAATGTTCACTTGAAGGCGATAAATGGGAAATATTGATTTAAAATAAAAGGTATATGACATATTACAATAGAAAGGTAATTGATCTACACTGAGGTAGCAGGTAAGAACACATGAAAAGCCTTTTTTTTCTAATTGCCAACCTTTAACGGGCCTCTCGTCTTCACTCTCTTTCTTTTATCGCTCTCTCTGTCTCAATATACCGAACGGCAACACACAGGCTGCGTTCTATCTCAGAGGCTCTTAATTAACACTTAGACAATTACTGCCTCTGCTGCTGTTATGAGACGGACAGAAAACAATGAGGAGGAGAGGAGGAAAAATGAAAACCATTAATTACAGCCTGCAATGACAGATTGTTGTGTGGATCTTTGCAACGCTGCATCTCCTGTGTGCACAACAGATCTTTCTAGTTACCAATAAAGAAACGTTGAAACTTAAAGACAGACTGACAGACAGCCAAATAAATAGACACATAAAGACAGACAGGTTAAAAGAACCTGCAGGTGCAATATACGGCCCGTAGATAAAATGGAAGCAATCAACCTTTTATGAAGTTGTCAATTTTGAGATCAACTTTTCCAAATGATTGGTTGGCTCCTTCTGAGCAGAAACACAATCATTGTCTTTTCATCATTCCTTTACCGACTATAGACAGCAAGGCGCACAGGCTTGAAAGTTTGCAAGCAAAAGTCACAGAACCTAAGAAGCTTGTTTGTTTTTACTTGTCAGAGTTGGTGGTCATAAACTTCGCTGCAGTCGATAGACAATGTGCCCCTGCACTGATTCACTGCGGAGGCTGTATTGCCTAATCTTCCCATGGTTCTAATTTTTTCCTTCGTGTCCTGAATTCATTTAGCTTTGCCCCGACTTTCTCCGTGTCGAAAGGCTTTTAACTGTGGATTTATGTCTCCACTCTCCAAAAAACTGCAGACTAACCAAAGAAAACTAGATCTGCCTGTTTGATTAATGGACGACACACAGTGCTGTAGCATACAGAATCAAAGGAGTGGGATGAATTTTTAACACTGCTGTATCAGGATCTCAGCCTTATTGTGTCAATAAAACATTTTAATACAGACACACTAAGATGCACTTTAAACAGAACAAAGGTTTATAGCTAAAACGTCTGCAGAATATCATATAAAAGTAGGATCATTGGTTTCAGATAATAAAAGCTGCATTACACCAACTTAAAGCTTGATCTCGAATATTAGGGTACAACATCAAATACTTAAAGGCACAGTGAGTAGATACCACCACCAGGGGGCTCTCAATCAATACAAAGCAGAAAGATGACGTTAAGCCTGGTGAGGAATCATGCCAGTCGTCTGCTACAAAAAACAAACTCTTTGTTGACTGTAGTAAAGAAGGACAGGCGAAACCGACCGGGCAAAGAGACTTTGTTTACCACGACAAGACATGTCCAGTTACAACTATAAAATTAAGGATATTAAGGAAAAACATTAAAACAATTTTTTTTTTTACTAACAGCTTTAGTGAAATGTTTTGAATTAATTTAGATATTTTACTGTAAACGTTGTAATACACTTCTTTATGTTGTATGTTTAAGAGACACAATGGAAGTTTAATTCTACTATTAGGCCTATTCATTAACAATTTAATATTGGAATCTTGTTATGGAGTTGCTTGGCAACCTGCAGACACAGCCCAACAACCGTCAACAGATTTAGCTGTAATCACAACCTAATCCTGATTGGTGAACAACAAATATATGACACCATCTTTCTCAGACAACACCAACATAAATATTTCCTGTAAAATAATTAAGACTCTTCCAAAAATTGACAGAAACTGCCGTATGAATCATGTAGCCCATCACTCTACCTATCAACATTTATTCCCGCTCTTTGTTTTCACTGTAACGTTTCTTACCTGTGTGATGAGGCTCTTTAGTTCAGTCCTCTCCACCTCCCATGAGGCCTTGGCCTTTGCAAACTGCTGGGTGAGTTCCTGGGAGCCTTGTCTATCCTGTCGCAACTCTCCACTCAGATCCTGTAGCGCCACCTTCAGGTCTGCCAAAGTGCTGCTCACCGTGCTTGACTACATAGAATGACAAGAAATGCATGCAAGAGGTTGCAATTTTAGCGCACTTTTGTTTGTGTGTGTGTGTGTGTGTGTGTCTGTGTGTGTGTGTGTGTGTGTGTGTGTGTGTGTGTGTGTGTGTGTGTGTGTGTGTGTGTGTGTGTGTGTGTGTGTGTGTGTGTGTGTGTGTGTGTGTGTGTGTTACATTACCTACCTTGATAGTTGGGCTGAGTGGTTGTGCGTCTGCAGCAGCCCTCTTGTCAGTCTGGTGGGTGGGGCTTGTCAGGTTATCCTCCTCCAACAGCAGATAGAGGTCCTTCAGGCTGTTCATCTAAGAATAAAAATCAGTCAAGGATATCCTGTCATTATTTATGCATCAAATATTTGATAAATGTTAGTAAATTTTTTTTACATTTGCATAGGTAATATTAAACTAAATGTAGCTAAATGTCCCTTTCCTCAGTCATACCTCCAGTATGTCTTTCCACTCTGCGTCTTTCTTGCAGCCCAGCCTCCACTGTTTGAGGAAGCAGCGCAGTTTGAGGCTCAGCACCAACAAGGCCTGTTTGAGGTGCTGAGACTCCTGGACCAGCAGAGTCCTTTCCTGGCTCCACAGCTTCCGATGAAGCCGAGCCTGGAGGCCCAAACTCTGCAGCTGGAAGTCCCGATGGAGCAGAGCCTTCTGGTGATCCTCGTGGAGCTGAGATGGGGAAACACAAACCAGGGTGAATCTAAGGCTGAAACTTTTTGTATATTTTTGCTTTTGATGATACAAACCGGGACCATTTCTTTGCTTCCTCTCAAAAACCCATGCTTACAAATGCAAGAAATTCAAGAAGTGTCAGCATCTATTTTTTCAATTTTCATTTTGTCAACCAAGCAGATCATGCAACAATATCTTTAACTATAGCAAAAATAGCTAATTCTGTTTCTCTAGCTGTGAAGTTTATGTGATTTGCAATTGATTCAAGAATGGGAATAAGTTTTGTTTGAACACTTAAAGACCTGTTTAACATGATTTTCTTATCTTTTAACATATTTTCCACCAAGGTACAAGAACACCAAAAATACATAAAAAACCCAACATCCAATATAAATTTGGTCATTTTAACTTGATTGGAAAACGGTGGGTTCCTCTTTCTGTACATTTCTGTTAAAAGTTGTCCCTCAGTGTGTGTCAGGCGTTGATACTATTTCCTCAAGTTCAGTTCTCAGATTTATGTTTATTGACAGTTGTCATTGCTACAAACTGACCTGTGTTAGTTTGAGAGTAGTTTCTCTCTGAGCCTGCCTTTCACTCTCCAGCTCCTCCTGAGGTCCGAGACCAAACGTCTCCGCCTCAGACAGCTGAGTCTGGAGGTCGTCTGTAGGCTGTTGGGGAGAAGGATAGATAGCAGAGTATGAGAGGCGGAGATGAGGAAATAGAGGGGGTTGGGTGAAGTACTAATGGAAAGAAAGAAATAAGGCCAAAAGAAGTGAGTCGAGAACAAGTATGTGTAGAACACAAGGAAGGGGAGTAGGCAGGAATGAAGGGAAATTAAAGATGAAAAGAAAAACAATCTTGGGATAGAAGACATGGCACAAGAAAATGAAAAAGGGAGACACTTCATAGTGAGAAAAGAACATGACATGGCAGTTTTGTGCCAGAACACCCTTTAAATCACACCTCAGCTACAGCACGCTACTGTATGACCCCACACACACACACACACACAAACCTCACTCATGCACACCACTGTCTCATGCCTCATTTAGCTGCTGAGTGAGTGCGATCCATCGACCCACTGCTGTACCATTAACGTCCTCTTTCACCCTCCACTGGGCTCGGCCTCCGCACCCCCCCATCACCTTCCACCCTGAACACCACCCGGTCGTTTACAGCCCTCACTGTCAGCCAGAAATACGACTCTGACCTCTGATTCAAAATGACTCACATGTTGTGAAAAAGTGGAAGGTGCTCCTGGGCGACAACTTTTGCGACTGAAGCAGCCTGACAGCAAATATTTTAAACATTTTATTATTTAGGTGCACTCTGGCAATAACACCATGTATTACTATTGTATTCTTTTGAAGATATTACAAAAGAATATAATGGAGTGTGTCAGAATAAAAACATGTGAAGATGATCCCCTCTAATGTCTTTACATTTCTGCATTCAGGCCAAATGCTTCTAAACACCTTATACCGTATAATCGAGGCTGACTTACCTGCTATAAACATTCAAAAGAATAGTTTGCTCATTTTGAAGGCTCACATTTTTGCTTAAGAAGCAGGAGCTGTTCAGGATCAATACTTGATGATTCTTTGAAAACTAAATCATGCACCAAATCTGGGCTAGGGCTAGGGGTCACTTATTAATGAGAATCTCAATTTACTTTTAGACAAAGTAAAATGTCAAACTGATGTACGGAGGCTACCTTGGCAACCTGGGTTTGAATCCAACCAGTGATTCCCCTCATGTCATTCCCCACTCTCTCTCTCTTTGTCCTATCTCTCTAATAAAGTCATATGACAGTAGTATGTAGTAGGCGGTTTCGAAAACAGCCAACATTTAGCAATCCACCCTCCAGCAGGTGACACTGCTCAGAAGAACATGGCGGATATAGAGATTGTTATTTGCCTCACATGAACAAAGAACTTGTATATTTTTTCTATCGAGAGTCAATATTTATTGAAACTTGATAAAAGCCTGGATGAAAAACTCTGTCTTTGTGATACTTTTTCTTTGTCATTTAGTTTCCACCTTCTTCTCTAAACCCATTCTCTCCGGCTCAGATAAAGATGCAGACACACACACAGCCCTGGTTACCATGGAGACAGGCCAACAAAAGGTCAACCAAAAAAAGGTTTTTGTTTTTTCTTCATGTCAGTCTCACATCTGACGATGTTTGTATGTTTACTGTACTGTGTTGCTACCATGAGTTTCCAGAGCTACACCACATCAGTGACTTACAGTTACTGGATGCATGTGTTTCTATTTGTGTGTATGAATGAGCCTTTAATAAACCTTTACAGGACAGCTTGTTGTTGTGTGTTTGCACGAGGTGGTGGTTGGCGCTAACACAGCAAGTGTGGTTATGAGAGGTTTACTTTCTGGGACATAATAATGGGTTTTATAAGGCTTTAAAAAAAAAGAAAAATATTCTGCAGATGGGGGTTTAACTTTTTTCTTAATATTTAAAACAGTTGTAAGTAAAGCAGCCTATTCTTCAATATGGCTTAATTAATAAAAGCTAACATGCTAATTTAAGGCTACATTATTTAGATTATTTTCTCATCTGCTTGATTAAAATTTGTTTTAGAAAACATCTTTAATCCTAGTGTAACATTATTTTGAAAAAAGAAAAAACCAATAGAGATTTAAAATGATAAACACAACTTATTTGGTTGCATTCTGATGCATTTGGTGAAACATTCATACACACACAGTATATATGTCATGTACTGTGTTCCTGTGTTTTTACCATAGACCGTTAATAAACATGGACGAAGCCTGAGCAATGTCATCACGGTCACCATATTGGGAAATACTGACTCGATCTCATTTGGCTTTAGGAAGGACTGGGGATACAATTTCAGGCTCCCGTTATTCTTTGGTGAAAATCAAACCCGTCATGATGTGAATGATTGTCACATCGAGCCACTTACCAGTGCTTCACCTGCCTCCTTCTCTCCCTGTTCCAGCTGGCTGATTTCCTGCTTTTTCGTCTCCCTGATGTCTGATTGGCTGCTCTCTTCAGTTTGACCTTTCACCACCGCCTCTGATTGATCCCTATAATCAGGCTGCTGCATGCATGCATGGGCAAGTTAATGAAGTAAAAACAAACAAACAAACAAACAGAAATAAAAATAGAGAGGGAGGGAAGGGGTGAAACAAACAAACATGATGGAGAAAAATAAAGAGGAAAACAAGACAAACACACAATAAGAATAAAACAATACGACTAAAATGGCGTCCGTCCATATGACAACATTGAGAATAAAATGAAAAACCAAACAGAAAGAGTTGGTCATGGATCTCACAAGACGAAAAAAAGGATGTAGAGGAAAAAGAGCTTTGTCAGAGACGAGAAGGAGAGCGTTGAGAAGAGAAAGAAAAGGAGGATGGAGGGCAGAATGAATGGCTGAGAGGAAGGTAAGAAAATGGAGACGGAGGAGGAAACAAGAAAGGGAAGAAGAGAAGGATAGGGGAGAATAGAGGAGGAAAGGGAGGAAGAAGGAGGGGAGAAAAGGGATCAATGGGAGGGCAAAGAGAAGGAGTAAGACAGTTAGGATGAAAGATAAGAGCAAAGGTCAACAGAGGTGGAAGAGGTGTGAGAGCAGTGAGTGCAGATGGGAAAGCAAAGCAGAGGAAAGGGAAGGAGTAGAAGGAAGAGCATGAAAAGGATGTGAGGTGAGCAAGGAGGAGTCAAGAGGAAATAATGAAGAGGAGTAGAAGTGAGGAGGGAGAGAAAGGAGGTTTAAAAAGTAAGGGGATGGGGAACATGAAGGTGAAGTGCAGAAAACGACGGTTATGGTGCCCGTGCAGAGAGGAAGAGGGAAGGAGGAAGGGGTGCAGGGGGGGGAAGGGAAGAAAGGAAAAAGGGACATCGGAGGGGTGTTGGGACTCAGAATTGGCCTCTAATGGAGTCTAAACATAATGTGTCCCCTTCAAACAGGCAAATTAAATGAGATTAAATAGAAAATATGTCATGTAAAAAAAAAAAAAAAAATGATAGATAGAAAAACTGTCCAATTTGGAATTCCTATCATATCGTTTTTTTTTTTAATAATGTTCCTGACAGTCAAGGGTCAGGGAAAAACAGTAGAAAGAGGCTCATCATGGATCAATTGATAGTTGATTCTAATTCCATGTGCTTTTGTTACATTACGTGTCATATGCTAAATGTTATTTGGGGTAATGTAATTCACAATGCAGTGTATTCTCTTCCCTGACAATCAATCGTTAGTATTGTAGTAATCAAGATTGGTTTTAGTCTCAAGACTGGTCTCGAGACCAGTTTTTGAAGGCCTCGTCGGTCTCGTCTTGGATTTGAAAGCATTTCTACTCAGTCTTGTCTCGGCCTCAAACTAGGCAGACTCTGGATTTTAAATCAAGACTGGTCAAGCCCACCACTGATAGGTTACTTTATCCACGTCATTACTGTGATTAAACGGAAAATGCTCCTTTTAAAACAACAAATAACTTCATTTCATATGTAGTTACACTTTCTCCCCCCCCATCTACAGCCTTAGTCTCTCCAGAGTTACGGTCTAAGTGAGTGACACGCCCCTGTACGTAAGATGCCTTTGTCTTTGTGTTGATGCGATCTAGTCTTGGTCTCGAAGCACTCAGGTTTGTCCTGGTCTCGTTAACTGTGGTCTTGACTACAACACTAGCAAAAAAAAAAAACTGTGGATCAGTTATGACTGAATCTGTGATTAATGAGGAATGATTGGAAATCTATTTTAAACCAAGTTCACTGTCTCGTGCTGTGAGAAACCCTCTCAATCATTGTCCCTGATGAATCTCAGCAGCATTATTGTAACATACGAAAGATCAATTTTAATAACTCAGATTATTTGATTTCTGTATTAACACTCCAGGATTTGTGTTTTAGCAATACAATTATACAGGCAATGTAAGTGGTTGCGTAGTGTATTGTTTGTACCTATAGTAGTCATTTTTAACTCTTACCATAAATCAAAGACATTTTCAAAATATTAGCTTTTTATTGACAGTGCAGCCTTGGTATCTTAAAGTACAGGAAAACACCAAAACCCTATCCTGAATAAGTGTTTAATCCCTCACCATTTCTAATCAAGTTTAATTAAAAGGTTTTTAAAGAAAACACTCAAACCAATTCAATGAGCTGTTTTTAGAGTTCTATAATGCTACTAGTCCCAGTTACAGTTTGTTAATAAATACATCTGAATATAACTTAGAAAACAACCCAGACAGATTTTGATTGATTGTATGATATGCTGATAGAAGTATAAATCAATATAAATGGAGCCCTCAATAAATCCTCTTTGTTCATGCAAACAAAAAGCTCCATTTGAGGCCTTAAACAACAACTTAAAACAGGTTAGGAGTCAATTCAAAAGCATGCACAGGACATGGAAGGCATTAAGTGGAGAGATTTACACTTCAGGTCAATTCTGAGTTCAACTTATAAATCAAAGGAAGTTTTTTTTCCAATTCCAAATCTACATTTGTCACTAAAGGGTTAATTGTCCACATCACATAGTGTGGAAGAAGAATAAGTCTTGGAAAACGACATGGGTTGGCAATAATTTAGGGAGCTTTCTTGTAATGTTCTACCGACTTTGGATGCATTTTTTAAAATCCCCAGTATTTGGACAACACTGGTGAACAGTTGTTTTTCCTCTTATAAATGAATCCTAATGAATCTTGGTAATCATCTGCTGAGCCAAAATGAAACATGACGTTATCTTTTCTTATGCTCACTTCATCTCTTGCTTGTTTTTATTGTAAGAAAAAGTCTTTGTCATCAAATTTGAGCCTGCTGTGTAAATCCATGCCCCACTGTGAGGAGAAATAAAGCTGCATGTTGAGATGGGATTGGGAGTCGTATTCAGCCAAACTAATAGTTGGCTAGTGGAGCAAAGACAAAAAAAAAACTGAAGAAAAGTGAAAACTAGTGACTAAATAAAATAGAAGTCAAACCAAAGTCGGAGCTTTAAAAAAGATGACAGGAACTTAAAAGACAGAGTGACAAGTTGTGGAAAGGAGGATTGTGTTTCTTGTCTTTTACCTTCTTCTCAGCAGAGTTCAGTCCATTCAGGTCGTCTCCAGAGCAAGAGAGAGAGGTGCAGGGTGAGGCCAGAGGAGACGCTCCTTCCACCTGAGGGTCCCTCGCACCTGCAGAGGCTTTACCCACACCGTCCACTCGCTCCACAAAGCACTGTAGCTGGGCATGTAGAGCTTGGAGCCTGCTGGTAAGAGCGCCGACGAGTGGCCGATCTGCAAGGTCAGACAGCTCTGAAATCTGGGGATAAAAAGAAATAACAGAAACGATCAAAAACTCGCAATTGGCTGTAAGTGAGCAGCTTGGTTTGATGAATGACAAGTTGTGGAGCTGGTACTGCAGTAAACTCAGAAATCATTCAAGGGAAAAAAACATTTGTCATTAAGGCTGTTTTTTTACTCCTTTTAGAAAGACGTAAGAACACCCATTGTTGCCTTAAAAATGTTTAAGCCGAACTAACTAAATGACATCTCATTCATTAGACAGCTTTAGTGACTTCTCATACCGGATCAGTAGTCTTATCTGATAACTAACATTTACTGTCTGTCTTTGTTGGAGCAGTGCTCATTTGGTTAACAAAACATATGACTATAAATCTACAATCCTTTATACCATGACACAGACGAGCTATGAATAGATCATTGATAATATGACCTCTAACGACACATATGTTTGGTTTTCATTAACGAGATTAGATTAAAATGTTATTGGTGTGGCTGTTGGATATTCAACACCGTTGTTGTTTTCCTCAAAAGAGGAGAGGTGTGTGGCACTTCCAGGAAGAGAGTATGAGGAGAGCAGTGTGTTTGTTAGTGAAGCATAACTTAAAAAGGGCTTTTGGGTACTCTGCACCCCCAGCATGGACTCTGCTGCAGAATGACTGGAAACTCAAGGAGCTAGTGTCTTTAAATGTTTTAAAATGTATAATGAAAAGACCTGGACCTGATTTTACATTTGTCTCCCTTTTTGTCTCTGGCTGTAACTTTGTGTTTTTGCAGCTGACTGTCTTGGTCAGGTCTCCCATGGAAAAGAGGTTAGAGTTAATACATTAAAATAGTGACAAAGAGAGAGCACGAGCTGATTCGATAACAAGTGTCACATGCTAAAGATAACCTGGCCAAGCAGTGACTGACTGAAGTTTGTAAGGGATCATAATATCAGTATCTCAAAAAAGGCTAAGGCTTCCCTTTATAGAAGTTTACGTTTTTAAATAAGTAATCAGAAATGTTCAATAACCTGAAGTAAATGTTGAACTGTTCAAGGTGATTTATGAAGCTGGAAGCCAAGGCTTTCCTGTGTGAGAACTGCTGCCTCTCTCTATTTGAAATACATTTTTCTATTTAAAATCATTGTTAACTGACGATTCTTGGGTTTAACACTTTGTTCACTCAGAGGCAACAATTTGAAGAGGTCAACCTGGGCTTCTGGAAATAATGATTGTCATTAATTTCTTCCAGTTACAACATCTGTTCTGTGAATTAAAACAAGAAGGGAGTCCAACTGTTATTGTACATTGATAAATAATAAACATATATACATTGTATATCTATACCAGAATGAGTAAAATAGACTCTTGCCACTGGTCTCTATCTAACCCTTTACTAAACAGGACTGTCTCTGAATCTCAGAGTAATGTCTAAAAATAAGACCCCTCATTATTTTAAAAACACAATTACTTTGAATTATCCGTGGATTTGTGCAACAGAATAATACATTTTCTCCGTTCCATTAGATTTCATCACAGAATATGAACGGGCAGAGCATGATATATTGAGTTTTCTCTTTGAAAAACAAAAAGGTTCAGCTGACAGGACTGTGGAGAGACACCATGCTCCACACACGGGACGTGTACCTGGCTGTGAGGTTTCTCCAGGTCACACTGCTCCGCTGCCTCGTTGCAGACCTTGTGATAGATGGATGGTGAGGAAGAGAGGCAGTTAGACTCGGGGGAGGTCAGGAGCTGTATCGCCGTGGAAACTAAGCGAGCCTGATCCCTCATGGCCAGCAAGGCATCATGGTCCTTCTGCCCCAGGCACTCGGGGAGCGAGGTTATTGCGTAAGCGTTGTCCTCGATGTTCTTTTTCTGTTCCTTGATCTCCAGGGCGTCGTTCTCACCCCCTACCGGCTCTTTTCGGTGGGGCGGACTGAGGGGAACAGAGAGAGAGAGAGCATTCAGGACTCCTTCCCCTCGCTTAGATTTTTTGGAGCACAAGTTCAATGTTGACCAGAAAATGTTCAGAAGAAGGGATATACTATTTGGTGTTAACTTAGGAATCCTCCTCCGTCAACTTTTGTTTCCAGTGTCAAGCATTTACTATAAATTTGTATAATATTTCATAGCTAGTGGTGAGCAAAACGTGCAATAAGCTGCTTCTCAAGCGTCAATAGTTTAAGTCTGAACAAACAATCATGTTCCTGTCAGGTCGAATTGGGCTGGCTTTCTCAAAAACTTTTAAGCTTGTCTTTCAGATCTTTAAAGCTTTGGAAGACATTGAGATGACATGAGATACGACTGGACACATGTCTTGTCAAATTGTTATGTTGGAATCTGATTAAAACACATTAAGTCAATATAAAACATACACCCTACAGAATCAGGGCATGCAAAAATGTAGTTTACTATGTTTTATTAGAGTGCACTTTTGTCTATAAAGGCACATTACTCGGTGAGGATCCATGTCTCCATGAGTATGTTCAAGGGCACACTTGGTTTCTTTTAATATCCTTTTTGTGTTTGCGCATGTAAACGTCATATCACGTTTTTATGAAAGAGGGAAAATCCCCATCCTGATTTTGAGAAACTTGGTTTTGCTACTCCGAGAAAAAAAACGGGATACTGAGGCATGTGTTAACCTTAACCCCGTTACTGACATCTACTGACTGCCTGCAAAGGGGCGGCCTCAGCCAACAACAAAACAAACAGAGTTTTTTTTTTTTTTTTTTACAGAAAGTTATCGGATTTTCTCTGACCAAATTGATGTCTCACAAGTCACACATTTTTCACACAACAACAATGTTGTTGAGGTACTCCAAAAAACTCACTGAAACAAATAGAGTTCTTCATGTAGCACCAAAGCAACCCCTTGTATTGGAAACTGCTAAATTTGATCATACCTGTTTGGGAGGCACTCAGCTGAGTCTCCAGCCTCTGCGTCAGTCTCCAGAGCTAGTCTCAATGAGGAGGAAGATGAGGAAGAGGAAGGAGCATGGTAGGAGGCCAGATCACAGCGCTGCAGGTTGGACAGAAGCACTCTGTTCTCGTACTGCAGCTTCTTCACCTTTCCACTCAGCTCTCCAATCTGTAACCTCGCCAATCTGAGATTCTCCTCCTGGGCCGGGGCATCGGTGCTGATGAGAACCGCCCCTTCCTGGATACTGTGCACCGGAATGTCGTTGAGCAGCCCATCTGTCAGTGACGCTAATGAATTGGACGAAAGTGTGGACGTAGGCGGTGGGAGTTCAGATTTATAGCGGTTAATCTCGTTCATCAGAAGTTTGTTTTGTTCTTCCATCTCGATTAGAGACCGCCTCAGGAGCTCCGCCTCCTCCTCCACAAACTGGAGGTGTCTCTGGAGCTCCATAACGTTCTCAGATGAAGCCCCTCCTCCGAGACCAACACCTGTCCCAAGGCCACCACCAACACCTGAGAGTTCTTGAGGACCATCTGGGGAGAGGAAACAATGAGAGGTCAAAGAGTTTAGAAGAATAGAAGCAGATATGTAGTGTATTTTTAGATTGCCATTTTGAGATTAGTTTGATATAACGGGTATTTGTATGCTGACGAAAGGGAAACAGATAGCCATACAAAATACAAAAAATCAGGAAGTTAATAATTGATGAGGTAAACCCCTGCGTGTTCCTTCTTGTTTCCCAGTGTTTGTGCTAAGCTAAGCTAACTTGTTGCAAGTTCTACGTTGCTATACAGACATTAGAATGATAAGGATGTCAGCCCATCTAACTCTCATCAAACTATCAAAAAGAAGTGAATAAGCATTTATTTCGCAGATCTAGACTTTTGGTAAAACGTTAAATTAAAGTCACAATATTCACCATTAACTAGCAGCTTATTAGCATGCTAATTAGTAGCGTAACTACCTTGTGGTCCCTTCATGTCCTCCATCTCAGCTCGAAGTCCCCTGTTCTCCACCTCCAGCTCCACGATGCGTCGACTCAGCAGGTTGGCCTCCTCCTCCACCAGCTTCAGGTGGACTCTGATCTCCGCCTCACGGGTGTGGGGAGAGTCAGCAACCTGGGTGTGGAGGTCCGAGTTATTAAAATACTCCATCATAAGGAATTGCAGTTTTATAACATCTGTTAAGAATATGGGGAAATACTTCTGTTTGTTGTAATGTTTGTTGTAATGTTTAGTTTTCTTGCATTTGTCAGTGAAATGGCTCAAAAGTGAGAAGCTTAATGAGCTTCAGGGAGCATTTTTGGCTGTTTCTAAAACAATGCAATTACATTTTACTAGAATTTTCCCAGGCTTTTCTGGCAGTGGTGGTGATATTTTACAGCCCACGATCTTAATAATAGCCTAGTGGTACTCCATTGCAGCCCTTAGACAATTTTTACAGGGCTAGAGCTGAATAACACGGACACACAGGGTTTAGCTTTTCCATAATTTGTTTCCAGGAAACACTTCCAATGGCTGTTTTTCAGCTCCAAATATGAACTAAGATCCTTATACCCTCATCCATGAGACCGTTTTTGGTCTAACATACAGTGATCTCTACACAACAAGCTCTCATTTCATGGCCTTGTTCACAAACCACTAATTCGTCCCTGCTAATTTCCCCATTAATCACTGTGTGACAATGACAAACTTCTTGCTCATGTTTTTAAATGGATGTAAAGCCTAGAAAAATCTAGGTCTTTACATCCTCCGTATTCCCTCACCTCCTCCACGGTGAGCGAGGCGTTGACGTCTCCATACAGCGACCTGAACTTGGCCAGCTCCTCCTTCATGGCCTCGCCGTCCTTCACCAGCTTCGTCAGCTTCTTGCACATCAGGGCTGATTCTTCTTTTGCAAAGTGGAGCTGACACTTTAAGTCAGAACTGTCCTCCTGCAGTGACAGGGCAGAAAGAGAGGAGAGCACTGAGGTGACATCGTTACAAACGAAACTGCTGCATCAAAGAGAGGCTGACATGCACACAGATCTCATATCATGGAAGGTGCAGTTGCAACTTTGGGTCTATATTCAATGATTAGAGGATGGATTCATCAATTCCAGTCCTCACCACCTACCATACTCAAATGCAGTGCTTCTATATCTTATCTACTCTACCACATGGACATCACAGCCTGAACGGCATTGACATCCAGGCGCCATATAGTACCTTCCTACCACATGGCCCTTATTGCCCCCCACAACCAAAATGCAACTATTTCTGGTGGCAACAAGGTCCTTCTGCTGCTGATTCTATTGGTTGTTACTTGGGTTTTGAGTCAATCTGTATATGTTAGACATATGGACATCATTAACTTACTTCTGACTCGACTGATGTCCAAACGTATTCTCTTTTGCAATTTAATTCATATGTTTGTAACTAAATCAGTTTAATTCGGAGTCTGTCCCTTTATTTGCCATGGCCTTTGAGCCGGTCATGACACAACACATTTTTGTAAACATGATATAACAATATAAAAACTCAGTTGTGTTCACTTTTTATAATTGAAGAGGGAAAGAATACATTTTACTCATGTGATTTTGTCATTATTCAGACTGAAAGAATAATGTAAGATGACTAAACATGGAAATGTTTAGAGAAAAAGACACACATGAATCCACTTCATGGACTTTGACATCGAGTAGCTAAGGTGTGTCTAATCTGGACTGTCACACTAACGTTCAGACAAGAGGCACTAAAAGAAGAGAGGGCACTTTAATCAGTCCTTCCTGGTACAGATGTTTTATAGAGATGGACAGAGAACTTGACAGGGATGGAAGTTCAAGCTGCAGACAGATGGAGAAGTACATAGGGCAGACACGCAACCACACATGCAACAAGCTGACCAGTCAGATCTTTCATGCATGGAGCCTCTCAAATTGAACTCAACCTCCTTCAATTCCTCCAACCAGTGTTTTTTTCAAAGCAAAGAAATTATCCTGAAATCATCCCTGGCATTTATAGGAGTAAAATTAACTTCATTCAGTTGAACACAAGCCACAACCCGTTATAGCACCGCAGCTACACTGGGATGTATTGGCTTTTAATTGTGTTTAAAATGGCCCTGAAATAGAGAGATAATGACAAACAGGTTCCTGACCAACTTGAGGCTTTCAGTCGCCAAATGGTAAAATCAGAGTCTGACTGTGTTTGTGTCTTGTGTGGATTTTTACGAAAAACAGAGACACTCATTAGTGGTTTGCCTCAGGTTCCATCCTGAAAATGTACTAACCCACCGGCTCACAAAATACAGATCTGTGAGATTAAAATAGTTCAGACAGTTGAGTAAGGAAATCACTATAACTATAGTTATAACTATGTGGAGGAGAGGAGGCAGTCGGCTATCTCAGTGGTTCCCAACCTGCCCCCCCTGGACCCACACTGGAAAAAAGTGATACATTGCTGCTGTCAAAGATGAGCATAAATTTTAGTCAGAGATCTCTTTTCTGGTATAAGCTTCACATTTTTCTAATTTAAAATCCCAACACAATTGGCTTACACACACTTGTTTACACCAAAAGACCTTGTATAAACTATCCACTAAGGTTTTCAACATGTTGTGAGTTAAAATGTGCAAATCGTTTTTTAGTTTTTTTAAATTATAGTTATCATTTATATTTTATTTATTTTTGTTTCTTAAAGACAGTTTTTAGTCATTAATGTATCATTTTCTTTCATCCCAAACTCAGCTGGAACTACTGCTGACCTTGGGTAATCCTGTGCTCCCATTCCTAAGAAGCACTTCTGTGGCTGTATTTGTTTTACAGCCCATGTGGAGCATTTCCAACCACATTAAGCAAGGCGAAGGGCCAGTGGATTTATCGCCATTTATGGTATGTGGCTTGGAGATGAGGCCTGCTCCAGTGTAGCTCAGCATCTGGTGAGAGATGATGGTGAGAAAACTGCTTTCACCGCAAACACCTCATGGAGTGATATATCACACCTGTTGGCTTTTTAATTTTTTTATTTCTGTATACTCTAAATAAACACCAGATCTTGTTCAGTTCTAAATCCTTAAATGGACATTTTACAGATTGGGAAAAGGTAATACAGCAGCTATTTAAGTGATATGTAACAGTAAAAATGGAAGTAGACTTTGGGATTGTGTCGCCACAGAAACAGCAGTTTTTATTATTTTGATGTCTTAAGAAAGCAGATGCAGAACCAGGAGGAGGCATAGATTTAAAGTGAGATGTCAGGGCCTGATCTTTAATCCAAACATAAACAAAGCCTGCTATGCATGGATTATATTAAGCCCAAACACCTGCAGAAACAGACCGAGGGCAGATAATAGAATGAGAGCACATAGAGTCGAGGAGGAGTACAGGTACTGCTGATCTACAGTATCTGCGTCAAATGCACAGAGCTTGTTTGTACAGAGAGAGCGTGAACCCCCTGAGGATATGGGTCACAAACACAAGAGACACACAAACTGCACAATCATGAGCTGTGAGGAAGGAACACACTCAAGAATCAAACGTGTCCAATTTCTAAATGACAGTTTGTATCTGCTATCAACACCTGATTCTGTTTCTTGTTCTGACACCGACATGTGAAAGCAACCGAAACTTAAACTCCACTTACACTCAGTAGACTTGATCTTTCATTGTTTTCATGGCCTGTATTTTGATTCCTATTGGCTATGAAAGAAGACAATGCGAAGCTTTACATTTGTGTTTAACTTCATCAAACATTTTATGTTTATTGCCGATTGCGATCATGTTTCACTGAATCATGCCTGTTACGGTTTATGTGCTTGTATGTGGCAAGAAAAAGTTCTTGCAGGAGTTGATTTATAAAATAAGTGGCAGAGTTTCCAATCAAATCCAATCATTCTGAACTACTGCAGCCCTCTTGATACAGGTTTGTAGAAACAACAGTGACAGTATTGATTACTTTAGTCCCCTCCAGTGCAGCACATGCAATCACATTTCTGGCACACATCTGGCCTCAGGTGATGCTGACAACACAAACGCTACATGGGAAACTGGAGTGTCATCATTTATTATCTAGCAGGACAATGACAAATGAGAAATGAAAATACTGAGTAGGCTTATTGGAGATTTATTTGGTCCATCCATCACACAGAACCAAAATCTTGTAAAGACTGTAATGCTGTTATCAGTTCATATTTATCTGCCTCTTCCTTCACCCGTCTTTGATTCCCTCTAAATCTTCCCCTTTTTATTTTAAACACACTTGTAAGGTCCTATTTTTATTTCACTTTTCATCAGCTTTCCACCATATTTACCCCCCCCCCCTCTCTCTCTTCTACTTCTTCTTGTGGCCTTATCTATTTATCTGTGGTTTGTGTGTGTTATGGAAGGCTTTGTCTCTCTTCAGGTTTGTCTTTAATGGAAAGGGTTAGCTGTTTATTGATTTGTTGTTGTGAACATAGCAGAGTGTCAGCATGTGTGTGTGTTGTGTGTTGTGTGTGTGTGTGTGTGTGTGTGTGTGTGTGTGTGTGTGTGTGTGTGTGTGTGTGTGTGTGTGTGTGTGTGTGCGCGTTACCTGTGGAGCAAGCTTCTTGTCAGGTTTGTTGTTGGGTCGTGCTCCTCTTTTCTTCTGGGAGTTCTGAAACAGAGAGACAAACAGACGCTCATTAGGAAGACGTGACACTGCATCAACTGTGAAACGTTTCAGTGAGCTGCAGAATGAATGTTTCCTGTCTGACACAAAACAGACAAAGTGAGGAGATGACCTTCAATCAAAGAGCAAAGTGGGACATAAACCTCTTTTCAAGAGGGTGCGTTGTTGCCTTTCCATACGTTCAGAAAACCACATCAAGCGAGAGTGTTGAGAGTCTTTGAATTACATTTGAAATGGAAACACATTCCTATGTTACAGTTTTCACACACTGAATACTTTCAAAATGAAAAGCCACTCATTGTGGAACAAAACACAATTGTCCACCACCTACCTACCATATGATTTTAACCCCTGATCTCAACTCCAAACAGAGCCACAATCAAGCGGCCTGCTTCTGCACAACAATGACACACTCGATATCGTGCTGATGACGATGCATTTCCAAGAATTTTTTGACACTTTAGCAAGATTGCTCATTTGCTGTCTTGCATGGAATTAATTAAGTAGACCAAAAGAACTCAGTCCATTTGTTAAATATGAACCAACATCCAACAGACAATAACTTTAGCATACACGCTCAAAACAAGGAGGAATCTATTAGCCTTGCTCTCAGCTGCATGTTTAATTGATGAAGGTGTCAAATAAATGAGAGATCTTTATCCTGAATTTGTCTGGATACAAATGTAATCAAGGAAATATCATCCCCATCATCTGACATTAACCTATGCATACTGTTTTTAAATACTGTACAGGGCGCTGATTGCCTAGCAGTTAGGTCATGCCCCAGGTACAGAGGCTGTAGTCCTCCAAACGGGTGGGCCGGGTTCAGGACCGACCTGCTGCTCCCTCGACATGTCATTTCCAACTCATTCTCCAAATTTCCTACTCTATCAACTGTCCTCCTAAGCAAAATATTTGAAAAAAGTATTGTCTTGCTAAGGCTTGAATTTATGCCAATAAAGCTAATTCTGATTCTGGGAGTGTTCAGTGTTACTGAGTGTTCTTATCCTGCTCATGGCAGGAAAGTGTAATAGCTCAAATCTCCAGAAAAATCAAATTACTCCATTAAGACCAATTTCTTGTTCTTTATTTTACCCTGTCATATCACACAGCATCGTTTCTCTCCCATCATTTTTGCCCTATGTTCATTGCTATGGTGACGTTGATCCTCCCCATAGTGATTATGATCACCAAGGAGATACTGATGAGAGTCAGAAGTTACAGCTCTGATGTGGAGGTACAAATGAAAGAGAGAGAGAGAGAGAGAGGGGGGGGGAGAGAGAGGAGAGAAAAACAGAAGAGCAAGGAAAGAGAAAGAGAAGATAATGAAGAAGAGAGATGTAAATATGAAGAAAATTAGGAGAGCAAAGCAAAGTAGATGAAAAAATAAAATAAAAGAATATGTATCAGCATATATGTCAAAGAAATATGTTGCATTGCTAAACCCACTCACATCACACACATGCCTGAACACACAAACCCATCTGTTCATCCACGTGTCTGACCAGTGAATTAGACTCTCATAAATCATTATCCTAGTCTACACACAGACACACACACACACACACACACACACACACACACACACACACACACACACACACACAAAGATACACGCGCAGCAGCGCCAGGATGGACGCTGCAGTGCAAGCAGCTCAGCTCATCTGGTTCAGTCCGTTTCCATGGAAACAAGCTACTCTCTGCAACGAAACCAGCGACAACAAAGAAAGAGATGGGGGGATAGAAGAAAGAAGAAGAATATGGCAGGAAGACAGAAATGTAAAAAAAAGGGGAAAAAATCACTTAATTCAATCTTTGTGGTTCAGTTTCTTTTCTCCCAGGATGTAAAGTTAAAACTTTAGGAGAAAATTGTTAAAATATTTAATTTCAAATTCCTCTCATGTCCAGGTTAAGGTGCAGTGCAGTATCAGCATGACGAGTGTTTTGCTTATTTTTTCTGATTTTTTATCTTCCTAACTTTTCAAACTCCCAGCTCTCCTTTCTTCCCTCTCTCCTCCATCACCTTTTTGGCTTTTCCCCAACCTTTACATTTTTCATCTCCCACTGTTTGTCCCATACCTCTACCCTCTGCTCTCCCTCCCTCTCTCTCTCAGTCCTAACCCACTTTAACATCAGTTTATCAGGATGCAAACAGTCTATTAATGGCTCTAAACTAACTGATCAATATCCCTGCCTTATAATGGAAACATTGATCCTGGCTGGAGGTTGAACAGATGTCGGTACTATTGAATCAGGCCTTTTAAGCTGAGCAGCGTTTAGACACAGAAAAAAAAAGCTTCCACGTAAAGGCGATTAATTCATGCGAGACTCAGGAGAGAGTGAGCACATGACCCTAAACATTACACCTTATGTCATTTACATCAGCAATACCAAAACTGAAAGTAAGAAGCATGATTTTATGATTTGCCAATCAAATGTTTAACTTTTCAAAACAAAAGCCATTTTTAGGATATTAAACTGACTTGTGTTGAAGCCTTATTATGCTCACATTCTTAACACTTTTGTAGACTGTTACTTCAGGAGGGTAGGCTTTTAGACCATTGAGCTATCTGCTGTGAAAAAGGCAAGCTCTTGTGCTAACAAACTTGCTTAAACTTCCCAAATATCCCATAATGCACTATATAATATGGCACAAAAAACCCAGCAGAAAATACGCAATTAGATACCTGAACAGCCAGAACATAAAACTGCTGAGTCAGTTTGTGAAACACCTGTCTGAGCTGATAATAATCCGTCTGCAACATGTCTGAGTTGCCTCAAATTGCCAGTTATATCAACAGGTGAGCAGCAGTGTCAGCTGTCAGTGTATCCGTTATATTGGGGAACTGTTGCCTCAGGCTGGAACAAAAGTTGGACCACTACATGTTAAGCAAAGTTTAATGGATGCTATACGTCTATAATGATATGATCGGATGCTGAATTGTGTGTTTTTCTCCTGATGATGAACTCACACTTATGACCTACAGCATCTGACACTTTTTTTAAAGAACCGTTTGAAGAGAGACAGGAAATATTGGGAGGAGTGGATGACATGCAGCAAAAGGCCGAGGTCGGATTCCAACCCACGGCCGCTGTGACGAGGACTGGCCTCTGTACATGCACGACATAACCACTAGCTACTGGCAACTCAGCATCTGACACTTTAATAGTTGAATTTCTCGAAAGCCATTTTTTTTACTGTGTACTCCTTATTCTCACTTTACAAAAGAATGTTCATTACTTATTACATAAACACACACACACACACACACACACACACACACACACACACACACACACACACACACACACACACACACACACACACACACACACACTGTGAACAGAGCCCTCTTCTCATGTTTGGGCGCCCGCAGGTCTCCAGTTACACAGCAGATAAGATAACAGGTTGAGTCCTTTGCTATCTGATCACATATTTAACAGCTTCTGGCTGTGTCCAGCAGCAGCAAAGCTTTTTGTTATCAGGTTAACATTTCCCTATATTCAGAATATTTTGGATGGAAATCTGATGAGAACAGAGAGGGGACAGAGAAAGGGACGCAAATAAAAAGAGAGAAAAGTCTGAGAGAAGGAAAACAACATCGATGGCAGAGTGGGAAAAAAGAAAAGAGAGATGTTTTCATTCCTCCAGCATGGATGAGGAAGCACAGCCGATCACAGCCCAGCGCAGCGCTGTGAACTCTCCTCCTTCCAATCCAATCTGATCTGCAGCTCAACCAGCTGTGACACTCATAGCAGGGCCGGATCAAACACAGAGTGAGAAAGAAACCTGATGAAACACCCTGAGGACGGTTGGGAAAGTCTGATAAACTGGCAAATAGAGGATAATAAAGTATAGGAAAATGATGAAACAGTGAAACTCTTCAAACAGTAATGATATAACCTCTGCAAGCATATAAGACTATAGACAGAAAGGTAAATGACAACATAGGAAACGAAGTTCAAACTTTGAATTAAAAGAGGAAAGCAGTCATTACAGTCATTCAATCAGCTGAAAATAGACACAAAGGAATAAAAACAGTGCTGTTTCACCTCAAAAGGCAGCAACAAACGGAGCAATATTTTAAAAAGTGCTGAACAGAGAAGTCCCCGGTGCTCTCTGGGTGACAGACCAGAGATGCTCTTACAGTGTGCTGATATAGAAATGATTTTAACAGCCCTGTCAGGTTAGAACCCGTCACACAGGTTAACTGCTAAAATATGAGATTGCACTCTGGGGATGGGGGGGAGAAAGCGAGAGAGGAAGCAGCACACAAATCAGATGTACTCTCAGTGAACAGACTAATGTGAACCACACAGCCATGAAATCCTGAGAGCTTCGAATGCGAGGAGAAGAATTTCATGTTGGAATGGATTTTAGGTGTATTTTTTCAGCTGACTCTGGTACTGTCCCTTTATGTTAAGCCTAACAAGCTTTGAACCTGTTGTTGTTTTATTCACTGCTCTTATTTGTATTGTCTTGCAAAACCACATGGTATTTCCTTTGCATGACGATTTTTAATATAATTTAACAAGGTATCATAGGATGTATTATTATTTTTTTAAACAAAATTAGTGCTCAATTTTGACTGTTTTCTGAGTGTTTTCTTACCTATAAATAATTGGTGAGTCTGAATTCAAATTTCCCTTAAATTATGGAAATTAGTCACAGAGGAACATCCCTAGTTCCTTTGCGACTAGGAACAAGGGATGCAAATCTAGCATGCATAGATTTGTCTATTTTTAACAGCACAAGCAAGCTCAACACCCTGAAAAGTGGAATTTTTAATAGAGATGGTTTTATTTGTATTTATTTTTAAATGTGGGGTTTTATTTAGACACTGAAATACTACAGGAAATATTTAATCAGAGGGCAGAACTGATATTAAATTGCCAAAATGCTGAACGAAAGTGTGCATGTGTACGCATGTGAGTGTGTGTGTGTACACATAAAGAGAGTCCTGAAAATGAATGGTTTGATGTGC